CAAATATTTATCTCTTCTGGTTTGACTTTCTTTATCCAACTGATATCTCTTCTTCCTTCCCCTGACATTTCCTGTTTATCAGTGAAAGCATGGTGAAGTTAAATGAAACCATTATCTGAGTAGCAATCCCTCTAGCCTACAGGTACAATCCTGAAATGAAAATGTTACCCAAATACAAAAATATATATATTTTTCCACCTGTTTAGGGAAACATTTGCCATCAGCTGATTAACACAAGACAGTAAGTTAAAGAAAACATTCTGCTTTTATTGTTTTTACCTTAAGATAAATATAACCACAATTATGTTTATCTAAACTATTATCTTCCTTCCTCTGAAGTCGCTCCTTAGACATTTTGTGATCACATCAATGGAAATATGCCAGCAGGGTTACAGAGAAACATCATTACATAATAAAAACACTCTTCTGATTATTCACATACACTTTATGGTATACTAAAACCTAGTTAAACACTATTTTACCAAACCATCCTGTTTTAACAGTGTTTACAAAGAATCACTGCTCACCTTATCTGCTTTGATTCACTGATCCACAAAACTCATTTAGGGGCTTCTAATATCTAATTAAAACACTATTTATCACCAAACCTATTCCACTTTTTAACATACTTGTATCTGTTCCAATATCTGTAGCCTCTTCTAAATCAAACATATTTGTATGTAAACAAGATGTCAAAGTAGCTTCACAAGCTGTAGCAAGACCTAAGAAATAACAATTTAGGGTCAACATTAAACTGCACTGCCAATCTATTATAAACATATGCGACAAAAACAAGATAAAGTGACCTTATTAGTGAAATTAAATAAATACTATATATTAAACACTTTTTAAAAATAGTGTTTGCAAATATAGTGAAATGTATATGACAAATACAAAATGTGCTTTTAGCTGTGTACTATTTCAAGATGTATTTGGCTGCTTGTAAATCAACATAATAAGAACAACAACAATAATAATAATAATGATACACTTTATTTCAGTCAGACAACTCAGGTTTGAAATGTTTATTAGCAGAAGTAAATAGTTAGATTTTGTTTAAAGCAGTGGAAGCAGGTCAGCAGCAGTGTTGGCGAGGCAAAGGAAGAGAGGGAACATCTTGCAGCTTAAATAGAGCGTCAGATTTAGGAAAATGTTTTTGGTTGGTTGTATGAGGCGGCAAGACACATCACGAAGTGTAAATGCATCATCGATGCTTGAGTCGACTGCCTGAACTCACGTTTGAAATGTTTATAGCAGCAGCATATAGCTAACAAAACATTCTGCTTTACATTGTTTTTATCAGTAACACATTTTATTGTGACGTCATGAATACTTGAGGTGATACACATACTGTAAATCGGTGTGAGCACTTTATTCAGAACACCATTGATTTTCTGTTAGTCACTGCTGACTCTATGCAGCATGAACATAAAGGAACAGGGATTCTAGTAACAGTGCTTTTTAGATTTAACAGCAAATAATATCAGAGCAGTGTGTATGTGATGCAGGTACATGATCAATACAATTCATGTTCTTTAAAGCAGCTCATTAATCAAAGGTTTAGATAATGCCTCCAAACTCGGTTCCTCAGATCTTGGTTCCTCCGGCCTGGAGAGAGACAGAGAGAGAGAGAGACACAAAGGAGAGGAAGAGATGTTTGTTTGTCTGCAGGATTTCTTTAACTTGGTTGAAGGGTGCAGCACGGGCCAAGAAAGACCCCATTACATTTTGGAGTGGATCTGAATCATTGGTTGAACACACAGATTACAAAAGCTCTGAGCAATAAAATATAACTCGTGTTTTTAGCGCCATGTTGTTTCCGTTTCACAACATACAGCTCAAAAAACTAGAAGAACAACAACCCAACGTAAATGCAGAGTAGTGTACGATTGGACGATCACTTTTTGGAAAATAAGTTAAGGAAATATTTAATTTCAAATTCAAAAACAGAATCAACAAATATATAATGACATATGCTTACAAACCTTTCTATTTAAAAAATCTTTTACTTTTACAAATGTATGTATTCATGCATCATCAATTAGAAGCACAGCTGATAAACAGCACAGAGGACTTTGCTACTGACCCTCCGTTATGTGTAATGTATTTTTATTCGGCCAATGTCAATATGTTTGTGTTCACATGAGGAAAGATCTCTTACCTAGCAGGAGTAGGACCAGGGCGCTGTAACAGAGACAATTGACACGTATTAGATTAAGTTACCTGATGGTAAAATGGATAGGAATAAACTCTGTGTTGGTCTTACCCTTTCGTCTGCCATTCCACATCCTCCTGGCATCCCCCAACAGCCTGAAAAACCGACATATCTGCTCCCCACCTGTTACAGATGGATCAAATTAATGTTGATGAACACTTTAGGTTACATCGGTACAAATAGTTAGTACACATGGTGTATCAACAAAATAATTTGAAAGCTTTTTACAGGATGATCTTACCTGACCAGGAGGTTGATCCTCTGTCACCACAGGAGCTGCATCAGAAGAAGTGAAGGTTGTGACGAGCAGGAAAACCTGCAGACTCAACAGCAGCAGCAGCAGCACACCTTTGTCCATGACTGAAGAGAAGAGTTTGATTCAGCTGTGAAACACACAGGTCTTTATATACTCTCTGCAAAACAAACACTTTGTTATGGAGAAAGGGAAAAAGAGTAAGAGGGTGTGTGCAGATGCCAGATAACTCGTCTACACGCAGATGCTCAATTTTAAATGATTTGTTTAACCATAGGATAAATATAACCACAATTATGTTTATCTAAACTATTATCTTCCTTCCTCTGAAGTCGCTCCTTAGACATTTTGTGATCACATCAATGGAAATATGCCAGCAGGGTTACAGAGAAACATCATTACATAATAAAAACACTCTTCTGATTATTCACATACACTTTATGGTATACTAAAACCTAGTTAAACACTATTTTACCAAACCATCCTGTTTTAACAGTGTTTACAAAGAATCACTGCTCACCTTATCTGCTTTGATTCACTGATCCACAAAACTAATTTAGGGGCTTCTAATATCTAATTAAAACACTATTTATCACCAAACCTATTCCACTTTTTAAACTGTAAAGACTTAGTGAACATACTTGTATCTGTTCCAATATCTGTAGCCTCTTCTAAATCAAACATATTTGTATGTAAACAAGATGTCAAAGTAGCTTCACAAGCTGTAGCAAGACCTAAGAAATAACAATTTAGGGTGAACATTAAACTGCACTGCCATTCTATTATAAACATATGCGACAAAAACAAGATAAAGTGACCATATTAGTGAAATTAAATAAATACTATATATTAAACACTTTTTAAAAATAGTGTTTGCAAATATAGTGAAATGTATATGACAAATACAAAATGTGCTTTTAGCTGTGTACTATTTCAAGATGTATTAGACATTTTGTGATCACATCAATGGAAATATGCCAGCAGGGTAACAGAGAAACAGCATTACATAACGGTGGACTCACATGAACTTAATGGTATTTAATAACCTATTTGTTGGACAATACTGTGAGATATGTTACTAAACCGACCTGTATTGCACAGAAGTGTGAATAAAGTGTATTCAAAGAATCCCTGAGACCTTCTTTGCTTTGATTTCTAGTCAACAAAACTCAATGGAGGTGCTACTACTATCTAGTAATCCAGTAAAAACGATCAAACCTTATAGTAATTGTTTTCTGTGGTAATATATTTTGCCATGTTTGATCAAAACCAAGAATATATGTATTCAAACAAGACATTAATGTATCTCCAGAAGCTGTAACATAACCTAAAGAATTAAAATGTTAGGGTCAGAGACATGCATTAAACTGCATTGCAAACCTTTTATAAATGTAGGTAGGACCAACGTGTAACAGAGTAGAAAGTAGCATACAATACAAATATATGAAACATAACATTGCAAATAAAATAACAAGTACCTTAAAATGTTGTAAATGCCACCCCCCCCCCCCCCCCCTACAGCATTTACATTAAAGGTCCCATGTCATGCTTTTCCGGTTAATACCCGTCCCCTTGTGTGTTATGAAGGTCTTTATGCATGTATACGGTCTGTACACCCTGTAGCGAGTAAAACTCTAACACAGAAAATACCTGTCTATGCTGCCCCAAAACGCCTCGTTGGAGATTTCTCTTTTTCTTCCTGGGTACAGTGACGTGCCCATACCCAAATGGACCGATCCTTGGAGCTCCTCACACACACACACACTCTCTCAGCGGCGGAACTGTGGCGCGCTTACACTGTAGGTGCGCCGTGTTTGGGGGTGCGGGGGGGGGCGAATGGACGCGAATGGACCCCTCCCGTGTCCATTCGCGATGTCTCGCGGTCTCGCAGACCCCACGCAGCAAGCAGGAAATGAACCCAGCTCACACTGTCCGCTCCTCGCAGCAACGTCCCGCCAACACGGCACCCAGACCCCACGCAGCATTCTCATCTGTTTGTCATTACTGGTGTCATTTTCTGGTTGCTAACGCCATTGTAATACATAATCACTGATGTTCCGCTGTAACAGTGGTGGACTCATCAGAACAGAGTGGGCGAGCTGACCAATCAGAGCACAGTGGGCTCACGGGGAGGGGGGGGCAGGAGCTCCAACAAGCCGTGTAGGACAGAGAGTGAATACACATACTATACAGAGATGCTGTATGAGAAACCAATGTGAGTTTGAAAAATTGCACAATATAAATCTATTCTAGTAGACCTCAACAATGGAATTATGATCAGTAGAAATGGCCATGACATGGGACCTTTAATAACAAACCTCAACTGTAATTCTCCACCTGACCGCTATTAGCCCTCAGTGTTTCCCGCCTCTGTCACTCACCTGCTCCTCATTAGCCAATCAGAGAGCTTCCTCGAGACACCCTCACTGTCTGCACACTGCAGCTCAGAAGCATTTATCGTGTTTAAAAAAATAGTATTTATTTTATCCTCAAGCACTCGACCTGTGGCACTGCTTGTGTTACACATTTTACAGTTATTCGTGGAAGTCATGTGATACAGGGAACGCTATAAATCAAGAAACAGGTCAAAAGATTGGGGAAATGTGCCCAACAATTCAACGAAATGTAACGTCCTACAAACCTCCTCAGGAAAGTGAAACACTCCGCTCTTATATTTTCACTCTGACTTGTTTTTCTCAACCTTGCATCACCTCCATTTCGGCTAATTCCTTGTTCCCAGCAGAGAAACACTGGACCGGATCAGACTTTATCCTGGTTTCCCTTCAGGAACTGGGGCAGGCTGCACGGATCAGACCTGTGAAACTTCTCCTCAACCAAATTAACAGCAACAGAAAAATAAAACAGGACTTTAAAAACGTCCTGCGACTTTGTATTTTAATCGTTTTGTGGCTACACTTCACACAATTCACGAGAGTAAACTGAAGGTGCCCCGGTGGTCAATTTCACTCAGCGAGGACAACACACGCCGAGATCGGTGAGTTTGTATTAATTTTTCTGATATGAATTTTTAAATGTCTATTATATCTTGCTAATTCAAAAAAGAAAATCCTCTTTTTTTTTCTAATATTTGTTCTTAACATCCTGCTCAAAAATCACAATCAACACTACAATATTTCCATATAAATTGTGTTTTTTATTCCAATTTTGATACACTGATATTTGTTCAACATCTTAGTTACATAATTCACGAGATTTGATGCATAACATCATGTACAATAAGTATGGATAATCGCTATAGTTAACACTGAGATAAACGGTGTTTCTTGTACTATCTTGTACTGGCAGTCTGGCATCTGATCTCCACATCCACAGGGACTCACTGCAGCCTCTGATCTGCTGCCATGTTTGCTTCTTTTAGAGAAAAGTGTGTTCCACTTTATCAGAGAGAGATTTGCTCCTCAGGAATGCTAATGCGGAAAACACCAAATCCTGCTCGGTGTTAATACCTCTGATTTACTTGTAAGTGGCTTGTTGGACCTCCAAAGTGCTTACTGTTCTGTGGTTAACTCTGTAATATCAACTAAGAGGTTGAATATATATACAATGTTTAGAAAAACAGATTTCTTTATTTGTATTCACTGTCATACACATGCAGGAAGTATTCCAGTTATGCATTATGACTCTGAAGGGCACTTTACAACAATAATAATAATATTTCAACACAATGTCTCTTTAACAGATACAGTTTATAGCTTTTTATAAAATAAAAACATAATTTATAATATTATTTCACAAAAGTATCCATGCTGCCTCACAAAGGCAGTTCATTTATTTTGTGTGTACTTGTACTTGTAGATGTTTTCTAACTTAACTTTTATTTTACTCGCTGAATTTATAATTTTAGTTGATGCATTACTGTGCTCAATACTTTAATTTAGCAGCTGGTAAATATGAAACTAATTTTTCACTATTTACTGGGTTAGGTAGTTTGTAAATGTTACCAATCTAATCCTATTAAACAAAGTCCTGTCTTTAACCATAATATAACATCAAATGTAGTGGAGTAGCAGTATAGAATAGAAGGAATGGAAATACTCAGTTAAAATATAAATGCCTCAAATAAATATTTAAACGTAGTTACTTTTCTCCACTGATTATGTTCAATGCACTGTTACCCTTTTTCACTGTCATTTTCTGCTCTGATTGCTGTTGTTTATTTCCTGATGTGTATTTCTCTCCTCTTTCAGATGATAACAACAAGCCTTCTGATTGGTTCGAGCGTTGAGTGACAGCTGGAGGTTTGTCAGGATGGGCAGGAAGTTGGATCTGTCCGGGCTGACGGACAACGAGGCGGAGCACGTGCTGCAGGTGGTGCAGAGAGACATGAGGCTGCGCAAGAAGGAGGAGGAGCGCCTCAGGTCAGATACGATAATACTTAAAATGTTCTTGCATCACAGCGGCTCCATTTCCAACATCAAACAACAAAAATACTAATTATACAGTACAACTGCAACCATTAGTCCACTCATTCATTAAATGACGGATAAACGACAACAATTTTGATAATCGATTCATTGTTAAACTACAATTTCTACTACATTCCTGACATTTTATTGACCAAGCAAATAATAAATGGGTAAAACAATAGTTACTTGCAGCTCTACTAATGCTGTCTACCATTTCAGAAATTCTAATTCAAAGGTTTTATTGTCATAGGCACATGGCAAATGGCAATGAAATTCTTCTGACCCGAGCTCCTCCAACAATGCAACATCAGTGTTTCTCCTATATACAAATAGCGGCGGCGCCAGCCAGGTACCACAAAAATAAATAATAATAAGTGGCGACCCTTTTTGATTTTTGATCGTTTGTTACGTGGATTTGTAGTATTTGTGTTACTGTATGTTCAATAAAGGTGTATTTAGCTAAATCTTGAGACATTGCCACTGTATGTACTAGGCCTCAAGAGCCTTTCTTGTGCACGCGCACACACTAAAAAATTCCATGCGCTCCGCACTCACATTTTGCCTTAGCACCGCTGCTAGGGGAAACACTGAACATATATAATAGAATACAAAAATACAGACACAAAATAGTGCAAGAAGTCTATATACATGTACATAGAATATGATATGTACAAGAACAGAATATGAAATAATGTACATTAAGACAAAATTAAATACAGTTTATTGCGGTGATAACTATTTCTATGAATAATTTATTGTTGAATAAAAAATATCTGTGAGTAAAGAGATATGAAAGAAAGATGTTAAAATTAATCAAATGGAAACTTTAAACCATATTGTAAAAGCAGTCACATTGGTTGGGGCTCAGTGTGCATTCGAGGCATTTTTACATCTCTGAGGGTGTTTTCCTATCCTGCGTCTCTGCTCCGGACAGGAAGTGACCTCCCTTTCCTGTTGTACTCAGAATGGTTTCCTCAAAACTTCCCCAACAAAACAAGTTGAATCACAAAGACAGAATAAGATGCTAATTGTGTGCGAGAGACAGAGGTACATAATAGTAGGAAATGATTTGTCTGCTTGTCATAGGTTAAAAATAATAGTCGTGTAATTTCATTCTGACTCTTTTACCTGCTCCATGTGCAATATTATTTTTCTGCGTACTTAACCAAAAAAGCTTTTAGCCATCAGGGTACCCAATCAAAGATAACACACTCAAGATAAACCTAATGGATGTTATTTCCTAAAGAGTTCCAACAGAGGAATGCATTCATGTTCAAGGTTCAAGGTTCTTTATTTTGTCATACGAACATATCTACAGTGTAGTTATGCCGATGAAATTCTTAGGTCACAGGCTTCTCCAACAGTGCAACACAATAACACAGTGGACGGATATCTACCCTATGGGACATTTACTTAATGTGAGGAGTATATTCATTTTCTTGGTGATGGATGCTGTTAAATTCAACTTGTTTTTTATATGACTGACTTGCAACAACATCACACTTTGTTTTTCATGCCTTTTTTTTCTTTCCACTTTCAATGTCTCTTAGATTCAACTGCTTATTGACATCTGAAGTGTGAGCCTAGTGGCCATACTGTAACACAGAAACTGCCTCTTTCCTTTGGGCACCAAGCCAAAGAGGTTGTAATATAAACAAAAACACATATTGCTTTTGCATAGTGTAAGTGGATTCCCTTAGAATAATACACATTTGATTAGCTATATTAGTCCTCAAATTTGAACTTGTGTTTCCTTTTTTCGGTAGAACAATTTGTGAGCTTTAAATTCAAGATATGTTTTTAAAAAGTGCTCTTGACGGCTTACCTAAAATAAGAGCACAATTAGAAAACAATGGTGCATCCATGAACTCAAACGGTACTAACAAAAAAACTAAACAAATCATGGATTCGAACAAAAACTTTCTTGTGTAATTTCCTGTATGACGGCCATTGACATGGGGTCATGTACCATTTCCAGATATCACATCTGATGGTAAACCCTTCACGTCTTGCAGGGTTTGCACTGCTTCCTCTTGTCGCTTAGTGAACTCTGACTGCATCCTGCTTTTCAATTTCTTTCTCTGACACCCTCTGAGATGAAATCCAGGAGCCGCTCTGAATGTCAAACTGCGAAGAGTGATAGCCAGGCGAGGGGAAGAGTAGAAAGGAAAACAGATGAGAGATGAGAGATGAAGACGGCACTGAAGTTGGCTTTTCTTGTGGTTAGGGTTGCAAGACAGGGCCTCCCTTCTTCTAATGCAGAGAGGAAATGTCTCTGCTGACTGATAGCAGCATTATCTTGTAACGGTGTGTGTGTGAAAGAGAACTGAAATATCACACAGCTATTGGTAACAGACCTAATATTAAGCTAGATCAAATATTCCCTCCCTTACTCTCGAGGTTGTTGCATCAGTATAATTACTGCAGGTAATTTTACTCATAAAAAAAGAATATTTTAGGATGATATGCATGTGTCTTTCAACAGGGGGAGTCATGAGCAGAGATAAAGGTTTTCAAAACAGCAGTAAACATTTTATTTGTGTTTGTTATTTTACCTAATGACTTATGAGATACGCAGACAAACGTTATATGTACCCTTCAAAAAGGTAGCATCTTGTGTGATTGTTATCAGTTAATGTGCTGAGAAGAAATAGAAAATAATCATACAAATAAGCTTATCTTAATTCTATTCTTGTTTTATTGACGCATTTTATTGCAGAGTTTCCCTTTTCAAATGTCTTTTTGAATGTCACATCCAACCAGGATGAAGTCATTATTATTTTAATTACTAATTAAAATATTTCCAAACGGATTGGTTCTGTATTTTATAAATATGCATATTTAAAATTATTTATTATTCGTCATATATTTTACACATAATCCCAACTTTTCATGCTTATGGAATTAACTTTGATATAAATAAAACTCTGCGTTATATTTCCAATACAATATTCAAATAGGACCAACCAACAAAAAAACAATCAATAAAACAAATTACACAGAGGAAAAGTCTCGCCAAAATTAATTTCAGCCACAAATCATGGGAATAAACAATCTCAATTATCCTCTTTTATGTTGGAATCTTCCAACACAAGAGAAATAGACACATTCACATACATGCAGCTCACATCAGTGGACGTCCCTTCATTTTATGGGTTTGAAACTGACTTTTTGTGAGGATTATTGCAGCTGACAGCTCGAGCCCCTCCTGCTTGTTCTAGTTTTACACCCGAAGATAGAAAGCTGCTTTAGACGAGGCTGTGTGAGGACGCAGCTTCTCTTCAGATAAACTGCACAGAGTGAGCGGATCAACATCTACAGCGTGTTTCATGCCTCTAAATTATTCAGATGAGAGTCAGAGAGATGATGAATGACTGCTGTTGTTGCATCTTCCTCTGTTGGCTCCTTAGCTTCAGCTTTGTCTGCTGAGTTGTGTTTACACATGTGAATGGATGTTATTGTGTTCATGTTTATTTCTGCAGGTTACTCTGCTACCCTCCTGTGCCTGAGTTATTAATACCTTCACTAATGGAGTGTGCTGCTGAAGTGAGAGGGCAGCTGAGGGTCACTGTCAGATATTTATAGTTTGGAAATCCCTTTCATCCCCGACTCACACCATTTCTAAAGTTGGAGAAGAATAAAACTGTCCCACCAAGGAAGGTCCATTTGTCGAGGTCTGGGGGGCTTAAATGGACCCATTTAAACCCAATAGTTTAACGTTGGAGCAGTACGGTTTTTAAAGATCAATTATCAATTCACTTTAAAACATCCATATCAGGAGGCAAATGTCCTTGAAGTGAATACCGTCTCTACAAATCTCTGTAAAAAGGAAAGGAGGAATTCCTTTTTGGCCTTACATTTAGAATTACATTTAAAACTGAAATAAAATGAACGTTGTAACCCACAGTGGCTCTTTCTGCTGCCTCTGTCCTCTGTCTTCGTGTTGTCAGACTCCATCAGTCTGCAGCAGTAATCACCTATAAATGATTCAGTCGTGGCTGGTGCTCCTGCCGTCCTGATGGGAAAATAACGGATTTCTGTGACCAGCGCTACTTACACAAGTTCCAATTTGCCTCTCTTCTGCCTCCATCCATCTTGTTTCTCTACAGTAATGTTGTATTCTGTCACTATAAGTCGCAGTCGGCCATGTTTGCATCTGTTTGAGATGCAGCGACTGTTCATGTGTACGTGGTTGTGGATACTTTGCAGTTGTATTGCTGGGCAAGCTACATGCATGGAAAACTAGTATTATGATAAACAAGGAAATGTTTAATTTTTCTTGTGGAAATCTGCTGCAAAACTATTCTTTACAATTTTTGAAATGTAGAAAACTATTTTTTTATATATTTGTAAAACATTGTCTACATAGAAATCCAGTGGTGGAAGGAGTACTCAGTAAGTAACTTAATTAAAAGCAATACCAGAGTGTACTCAAAGTTAGTCAAGTGTTTTTAGTAAGTAAAAGTACCAACATCTTAAGGACTTTGATATCCTATGTAGCAGCACATTAACAGCATTTCCTAAAACTGTTATTTTCCAAATAACACATTTCTATGTTGAAGCTTTACTTTTAAACCAACATAAAAGAAAAGCCTTCAACAAAATAAAAATAAAGACATTTTTGTATTTTTAATTGCATGACAAACAGTCATGTGAGCAACAGCTCCAGATCAGCCACTTAATGGACCTTGTGGCCTTTTTTTCTTGTACAATAATAAACATTTATGGTTCCCCACATTCGTAGAAAAGCTCCTGCTGCTGCAGAGGAGAACAAACTAATGTATTATTCAGCACGTCCGCCTGCTTCAACCTTTACATGAGCACAGCAGGTGACATTTAAATGAATGTGAAGTGATAAATGCTTTGTTCAAATATTCAAACAAGACATTTATGGATAATAATTTGACTTTTAATAAGAGCTCACTGCTTTTCGCCACCTTGGAATGAATAATGTATGTTAATATAAGTCAGATATAACCACCAAAAAAGCAAAGACTTAATAGAACTTTGATTTTCATATTTAATTAAAAAATGTTTTTATATATTCATGTTTCATTACATTACATGTCACTTGTTAGATGCTTTTATCCAAAGCGACTTACATACTCAATACTGTGGGCAATCCCCACAGGAGCAATTTGGGGTGAAGTGTCTTGCCCAGGGACACAACGACATGCTGACTGCAGTGGGGTTTGAACCTGTGCTCCCCTGATCCGAACACCAACGCACTAGTCCACTGCGCCACAGCCTCCCTTACGTTTATATTTGTTTATATTAAATTGTACAATTGTTACATTTCCTGATTTACCACACTGTATGTATCTTTCAAAATCTGAAAATCTTTTTCAATCATCATTTACCTTTGTAATGATGATTAGAAAATAACGACTTTGTGAAACCATTTTAAGCTCATTTTCAGGTTCATATTTGTATTTTTTACATTACATTTCATTTAGCTGACGCTTTTATCCAAAGCGACTTACAATTATCAATTACAGGGACATTCTCCCTGGAGTAACTGAGGGCTACGTGCCTTACTCAAGGGCACACTAGTGGTGGTGTTCCTGGAGGGATTTGAACTCACAACCTTCCGATCTTCAGCCCACCTCACTATCCATTAGACCACCACTACCACTATTTTGTGCCTGTACTGTGACATGTTTACATGCTGTTCGTGAGTGTTACATAGTGATGTCACTACGTTACAGAAGTAATCAAAGGAGTCCAATGGAAGCGTTTCAGGCACGGGGGGGGGGAGTGAGAGAAACTCCCTCTGGAGGGGACTTTGGGATTTTAGCCTTTGTTGACCATTAACATGCACAAGAACCTTTAACACACTACAGGAAAGGGAAAACCCAGAATATCATACATTTATTTTCTGCTCCATTTCCATTAAGAGTTGGCAGAGGTCAGTATGACTGGGTGTGTTTGTATGTACTTCATGTCTTCAAATAATATCCTATTTGACTCAGTAAACTATCAGAGAGGAACCACAGCCACACACTTAAATATGTAATAGTATTTTCCCGCTGTATAACTCTCTCTCTCTCTCTCTCTCTCTCGCACACACATTCCTGGTTTCACTATCATCCTCCCTCCACCCTCCCCTCCTCGCTCCCTCCCCCCACAGTGATCTGAAGCAGGAGCTGGATGAGGAGGGCAGTCGCTGCCTCCTGCTCTCACGGCAGAGCTGCTTCAACCGGCGCTGCTGCATCCGCTGCTGCTCACCCTTCAACTTCCTCCTCAACCCAAAGCGCCCGTGCCTCGACTGCCACTTCAACGTCTGCAAGGCCTGCCGTGTCTACAGCAAGCGAGACAAAACCTGGCTCTGCTCCGCCTGCCAGAAGAGCAGGTAGGTCGGGTGGTGAACTAGTGTTAGTGTCTTAATATAAATAGAAGTAGTGCAAGTGCTGGTGGTGTTATTGTTGGTAAATGTTGACTGCATTTATATAGATATTTTTCCAGTTTTTACAACCCCTCAGTCAGCATTCACACACCAGAGGCTGCCTTACAAGGTGCAACATGATTGAGGAAACTAGGATTCACACACACTCACACACTGTTGGCCATGCCATCAGGAGGAACTTGGTGTTAAGTATTTTGCCCATGGCGATTTGACGGCTTGGGCTGAGATCGAACCCCCCTCCTTCTGATTGGTAGACGACCACTCTACCACAGTCACCCCTGTGGTGTAAGTGTTAGTAGTTGTAGTGGTTTTTATTTTAGTCTTAGTGTTAGACGTGATAGTGTTTGTGGAGTTTCTGCAGATGGTTTGTGCGTACATGAGACTAGATTAAGGATGAGAGGGTGACGGTGACGTCAAATGCTATTGTGCTATTTCTGCTGCTGGAGAGATGGATTTGGCACTTATTACTCACTACAAACTCACTAAGATAGAGAGCAAGATAAAGTTGGTCACTGGCTAAACATTTGTACTCCGTATAAATGCAAAAGTAACTTGATCGACAGGAAAATATTAATACATTATTGGAAAATGTATTAATTGTTAGGAATTCTTCATGCAAAAAATGCATGCAATGGAGAATCTCAGTTGTCCTCTTAATGATGAAGACAGTTTTGTAAGGAGCGATGGCAGTCAAACCTCAGTTTTCTACACTTAACTGTTCTGTTTTAATGAGATGACAACCACAGACTGCAGGAGTTACCTAAAGGTGTTTCACCCTTGGACACTTCCTGTCACATCCTGTCCACACACTCACTGTCCACACACTCCGTCAGCTCACACACACAAAGTCAGCCGCACAGTGAACAGATGGTAACTCATTAAACGTGCTGACATGAATATCTCTGCAGTACCCTACAGCTGTCATTCCTCATCATTCAATTATATCCCTGTTAATATTAAAGTAACACTTGAAGATGAGACAAACATACATTAGTCTGCTCATGCACAGAATGATATGTTGTTGGAATATTGACATAGAGGTATTTTGTCAAACATATTGTGATATTTGATATATTCCATATCGCCCAGTCCTAATACGGTCACACCAATATAGAAATTACCAATAAAGCAACATATTTTGACACCTATTACTGTGGTTTAATTCACTGAGGGTGCTGTACAGGTGAGAAGATGTATTAAACATCTTTTGAAAGTATCATAATTATATACATTGAGTGTATTTGAACTTCCTGTCTGTGTCTCTCAGGTTGTTGAAGACACAGTCACTGGAGTGGTTCTACACTAATGTGAAGACGCGCTTCAAGAGGTTCGGCAGCGCCAAAGTGCTGAAGACTCTTTACAGGAAGCACCTGGCGGAGCACAGCGCACTTTCAGAGCTTACAGGTAAACCAATCTGTTTATTTGTGTTGTGGATAAAAACTGTTGCAGTCAACTTTGATGATATGAATTAATTTGTGGTATGTGACGCATTTTGAAAGGGTTCATATATCCTGAATTTGACCCCTTTAAACAGATTACTGTAGAGAGAATCTACCCTTATGAGAAGTGATAGTGTGTTTCTATAAGGTTGTATGTGTTGACCTTCAGTATGTGCCTGATTTATTTTGTGTGTGTATACATCCATGTGTTTGATATCTCAAAGTAGCAGTTGTTGGCTTCCTATTTCCTTGGTGGAGGAAATGCAAATAATAATACTACCGCTACAGTACGGTATGAAACAATAAGTGTAGTATAATATATAAAGATATCTAAAAAATAGCAAAGCACATAAATAAATCAGTCCAACAGAGTCAGAGAAGAGCTTTGCTGGAGCCACCCAACCCTGAAAATGCTCTGGTAGTACTACAGTGTCTTAAATAAGACCATTCACCAGGCAGCACATGCTCCAACATGAATGGTCAGAGCGGTGAGGAGTGCATCTGCAGGCCTTTACTTCAGAGTCTCTGATCTGCTGCAACAGACGAGGGATTTCAGAGAATTATGAGTGATTGTGGAGGAGAGGTCGCGGCAGCAGAGGATGCAGAGCTGTGACCCCGTGGGAGGAGGACTGATGTGGGCTGGCAACAGGCCACCGCTCAGCATCTCCTTCTGGTTTACTGTTTTCATTCTCCGCTCACAAACACACTGTATCATACATTTTTATTTGTTTACGACAAAGCACTGTTTTCATCCAGCTGCCAAATGTGCATCTGCATAGTCTGACTCATGGAAAACTGACATTACTTTGCATAAAAACAATGTGAGCTGCATGAAAAGCATCAGAATTAATAGAGCTGACATTTAGGGAAATATCTGTGGGTAGAGCATCATCATGTTAGATTTCAACCCAGTCTCACGGCATTTCGTGTTATAGTCACGAAATGCATTTTATCTATTGATTCGTGTTCACCAACACGATTTTAAAAGCAATGTATTTCTATTGGTAGTATGTTTCGTGCCTGCACCACGTATTTTTGTCCAGTCGGGTCTTGGAATACCAGAAGCTGTGTGGTTCATAAAAACATTTTCTTACTCAATATCTTACCCTAAGCCTAACCCTAACCCGTCCGCGAGGAAAAGAAATGGGGCAAAGAGTCTCAGAATACTGAAATCTGTGTTTTTTAAATCTTTTTTTCCTTCTAATTTGTTATTTACATTGCTTTTAAAATCGTTCTGTGTGACACGAAAAAAATGGCAAAATCGTGTTGGTGAACACGAATCAATAGATTAATTTCGTGACTGTAACACGAAATGCCGTGAGACTGTGTTGTAGATTTGTGTTGCAGTGAAACATTTCCCCATCACTGCTACAGCACCGAACACAGCTCAGAGACATCCTCCTCTAAAGAGTGGCATAAATAACAAAGTGACCCCTGAGGTGCTAGTGAACTGTCAACGGGGGGCGGGGGGGGGGGGGGAATCGAGCCGGCCCTTGACGACCGGCCGTTCTGTGATTCTCCAGATTCTACAGATGGCCAGTCCGCGGAGGGTGGAAAATACATACCGGAAGTAAACAAAGACGTGCAACGGGAAGGTGTTCCCACGGGAAACAAAAACTTAAAATATTAAATGAAACAATCTCATCGCTTAAAATTCACTTATTATGAATTAAACATTCACAAACTTATAATTATGTATTCACATGTTTAACTCTGTTACATATGCACGCAACGAACAGAAGAGCGTAGGGAACTCCGTCTCGTAGCGTGTGTGCACCGTTTTGAAATGCCGCTCTAAATTACCCTTCTTCGGTAAAGCCACGCTCGCATTGCAGATGAGACAGACTTTGAATTGGAATAAACAAAAAGCGAAAATGATATATTTTGGGCTTTTTTGCTTCTGCCATAATTGCGGTCTTGTGTGTGTGTGGACTGTCACTCCTGTGACACGGACAACGTCAGCTAACTAGTGCCCACTGCCCACCAGCCACGCCCCGACACATGGGGTCACGCCAATCACAAAGCTTTGATGCGTTCATTATTCTGGCCCAACCAAAATATAAACCAATACAACTTTAGATTTTATGATGGCAGATGAAAAGTTAATGGGTCAACAAAGCACTTCTAAATCAGTCTAAAGGGGACAATGTCTGTGTATATATAATTGCATTTTATACAACTAGCGATGACATTTTAATATAAGGGACTGCATAGGTTATGTCACAATGTGGGTTTAAAAATGTTTTTGTAGGATGACATTACGTTTGACATTACTGTACATGCCAGGCTTTTGCTTATCATTTTTGTTTTATATTATTGTTCCTACAGTATTTCAAGTTTTTATTAAAGGATTGTTATAATTTAAATGTTGTACTGTATCCAAAATGACCTATTATAAATGTACGATGCGCATCACATTAGCATTATTTGTCTAGTGTAAAAGTATATATAGAAACTAGGGATGGGAACGATTAATCGAATATTCAAAATTATTCAGGTATCGAATATGAGAATATGAGTTATGAATATTTTTATTGTAATTCTTTTTTTCTTTTTTTTTGGGAGGGGTGCCTAAATTGATTAGATATGATCAAATGGAATAATTCAATGTATACGACAGTGCCATAGCTAAGTGTGTTAGGTCTAAAGGTGTGTTTTGCTCCGCTCACCGTTCCCTCACAGCGGGCAGAGCTGCAGGTGCTGATCTCTCTCTCTCGCGTCCGGTTATACTTCACTCGCGTTTATGTCCAAATCCATCAGATCTAGCTAGTTCTAGCTAATGATATGGCTGCTGCCCCTCCCTACATGCAGATCACGCAGACTCAAACCTCATCTTATGCCCAAATTCCAGCTGAGAGGGTCTTCTCTACAGCTGGCCTGATTGTGAATCGCCTCCGCACCCGCCTCTCCCCTGAGTAGACATGCTCATATTCTTAAACAAGAATGAGTATTGAATAGCTGCATTCTGTGCATAGGCCCTGTTATAGGTTGTTGATCTCTGTTGTAATAGGGTTACGTTACCCTAACCCGTTATGTTGTTCGTGTATGATCCCTCTTTAATTTAAAAACCAAGTTATGTTTTAAGCATGAAAGCTGTAGACCTATAGCTGTCAACTGTTCAAACTGTGATCACCAGTTCAAAACGTTTGACACATTCGACTTGGTTTCTATACTTATTTGAACATGTATTTATTTATTTTTCAAAATTAAATTATTATTTTTTTGTCAACATTTTTCCCACATTTTGTTTTTATAGGATATGTACATTTCGGTTAATCGGTTAACGTTTTTGGGGTCGAATATTCGAATATACATTTGCTTTCAAATTCCCATCCCTAATAGAAACTTATTACAGGGACATAAAAACACTTGAGTATAAAACCTTTCTGAGAGTCTCATGGTGCCTTTAGGGTCACTGTGACCTTTTCTGATCATGAGTCTTTTTCTTGCCCCTGTGCTGCGGCCAAATGTGTCCAGACTCATTAGATGTTACAACACACACACACACACACACACACACACACACACACACACACACACACACACACACACACACACACACACACACACACACACACACACACACACACACACACACACACACACACACACACACACACACACACAAAACCATATATTTATACCAGGGGTCACAGAAACACAGTCCATGCTGCTGCCCATGAAATACGTCATTTTGTCTGCAGGATATCTCAGATCAGTGAACTCATGCTTGCCTGAAGAGTGTTCAGCAATGAAAGAGACGAGTGCTCTAAATAACAAATATATAAATAACTACAGTTCACATCGTTTGATATAAATCCTCTCTTTGCTCGTTAAAATGATTGGAAGTGACCTTGTGTTCTGTACTGTACCTCTGAACCAGCGCACAGATCAGGTCGCTGGTAATACCACATGTTAGGCCACGCTAATGCTCTTACATAACCACAAATGGCTGCATTGTTAATGAATATTTACACGTCGTGAAAAGAGCTCAGGGCTCAGCATTACAAGGAGAAACTATCCATGGTGTGACAAACCTATAGTGGCAGTGTAATGACATTTAAAAACAAGTAGCAATACAAACCAGAATAAAGTCAGGCTTGGATTAATATAAGATTTAGAAAGTGAAGAATCAAATTATGCTTCTTTGTCTAGATTCATGGAATAACAGATATCTTGCATTGATTGAGGAAAACTTGACAACAAATTAAACTTACACAACACTTATGATGGCAAAAAGTCTTTTTATTTCAGATTTATCCACAAATAAAATGCAAAGTAATTATAATCATTATAATCAAGGACCAATTGAATTGTAAAAACACATTAGATTCAGTTGCACAAATTGTGAACGACCAAATGAAACACACAAGTGAAGCTTTCCTTTTTGTATTTTTTCATTTGTGTGTGTGTGTGTGTGTGTGTGTGTGTGTGTGTGTGTGTGTGTGTGTGTGTGTGTGTGTGTGTGTGTGTGTGTGTGTGTGTGTGTGGTGTGTGTGTGTGTGTGTGTGTGTGTGTGTGTGTGTGTGTGTGTGTGTGTGTGTGTGTGTGTGTGTGTGTGTGTGTGTGTGTGTGTGTGTGTGTGTGTGTGTGTGTGTGTGTGTGTGTGTGTGTGTGTGTGTGTGTGTGTGTGTGTGTGGTGTGTGTGTGTGTGTGTGTGTGTGTGTGTGTGTGTGTGTGTGTGTGTGTGTGTGTGTGTGTGTGTGTGTGTAGAGGGCAGCGGCTACGAGGAGAGTATCTGCAATGAGGGAAGCATCAGTGGGAGCGACTCAGCCTTCTACAGACAAATTGAAGGTGATGATATGATTTATATTGACATTACACATCCATGTTTTTACTGCACAGCTATTTATTTTTATACTATTTAATACAGGTTTTTAATTAAATTAATCAATCAAACTTAATTTATAGTGTCCTTTTCCAAATGAAACGTAACACAAAGTGCTCCATAAAATGCTAAAACAGCTTTTATCCTCATTTTTTTTCAAATAGTATCAAATGTTAGCCAACGAAAGGTTTTGTGCATTAGATAGATATAGTGTGTACTGTATTCAATATCTAAATATAGTGTTAATTATGCTGTATCAAGGAAAGCATTGTATATAAAGTCTCTATCTCAAAGTATTACTGAATTAAAGTAGAGGTTGAATGAATAAATGAATCTGTATTGTAAATATGAAGTTAGCCAGGACATGGTTAGCTTAGCTTAGCATGAAGACTGGAACAAGGGGAATCAGCTTATAGGCCCTTTTTTTATTTAGTTTGTATATACAGTATGTCTTTATTAGTGAGCTTTAGAGGTGTTGGTGGATTTTGTTACGTTGAACAAAGACAGGCTTCTCAGTTTCGCCTTATCAGGCTAAGCTAAGCTAACTAGCTCCCTCTTATATACCTAAATGAACGTCTCGATGACTCTCTGCAAGAAAAAAGCGGTTAAGCACGCTTCCCAAAATGTTAAACTGTTCTGTTAAAACTCGATTTTGTCAGATAAAAAAAGGCAGGGGTCATGATATGACCTTTTCCATGTCAGTTTATATTAAATTATTGCGGTGAACGTCATCTTTAGCGCTCGGGGCAGCTGCCCTACATACCCAGTTGGTAATTTAGTCTTGTAACAGTGAGTGCTTAATTCCAACTCCATACCAGAGTCGCTGCAACTGACCCTCTGTGGCCTTATTATTATTATCCAGTTCAAGGTTTTTCTGGGATCATTGTTATCCTCTCATGAGGCCATCAACTCATATTTGTTACCAGCTGCCATGAATTGAATGCTTTACAGCAGATGGACCAGCTGAGGGATGAATTGTTTCATTTTGCTTCTCGTTGTAATCTTTTGGCAGTCTGTTCTGTTCTCTTGTTTGCTGACCTGCTGTGGTTATACTTTTCCCAGTTCACTGCTCCAAAAGGATAAGTGAAAGCATGAATGAGAAGCTGAAGAGGCCTGATGGTCACGTATCTGTCCGTAGAGCCTCAGTAACACAAATGTGACAGTGAAAACAGATTAGCAGCAAACGGCTTGAAAACAGACACAAAAAATGATGCATTAATCCCCCCTGTGTTTTTGCATTGATTTAAGAAACAACAAAACAAGTGATTATTGGGATTATTGTATGATTATATATGTTTCTTGTGTTCAGAGCACAGCATGGCAGAGACCCTCACTGTGGCCTTGCGGGTGGCAGAGGAGGCGATAGACGAGGCCATTTCCAAGGCTGAGTTCGATACTGCCAGCCAGGTTATTTACGTTGTTCACATGTTATAAATACCCTGCCATGTTGTTAGATTGCATATCTACACACTGCCTTGCACTTTGTGTCCCATAAACTGCTGTTTAACTTGTTTTCTTTCAAAACTGTGTACTATAATAATCCTGTGTATTATCTTTAGCCAGTAATGTAGATGCTGGAGTATGTTATTTTGTCCCCCTGAAGTCCTATGATCATGTTCCTCCTTAATCTGACACCTGCTTTTTCTCTTTTGGGTCAGAGTTTAAATCAGATTATAGAAAACAATCGGGATTACGCTGCAATCCAAATGACGGTTTAATACTCCAGTATAAAAGAACATCAGGGCCATTGTGAGGCCACAAAAAGAAAAGCAAACTAATGTGGGTTATTGGCCATATTTCACATAAATTTACATCACAAATTAAAACACTGTCAGATAAGATAACAAAGAAGTAATTTTATTATTTTTTTTAAACTACATAAATGTCCCATTGCTTGCTTTTGAAGGGTTCTGCTTCATCTGCAAAGTGTCAATAAATAAAAGGTACAAAATCACTTCAGGAGATGCAAAACAACTACAAAATGAGACAAAACAACTACAAAATAAGACAAAACAACTACAAAATAAGACAAAACTACTACAAAGACACAAGAATAGCTACAAAGAGACTTTAAAAGCCGCTTCAAAAAGACTCAAAGTAACTACAAGAGCTGGAAAACGACCACAAAGAGACTCAATGACGACAAAGATAATGAACAACCATGAACACTGATGGGTTGTGTTGCCCTTCTATATTAAGTGCAATACATCTTGCTGTCGTGGTTCATATTATCTCAGGATATTTTTGCTAAAGCAACTTCTTCAAATATTTATAACTCCATAACTATCTGCAAGTTAAATGCCAAAGTACACTTCTGTTTCCGCAGCCACTTTCTAAAACACTACCGTGTGTTCGAAAAGATTTGCTCCCCACTAATCCGTATCCCAAAGCTTTTGAACTTAGTACAGCAAATATGTATATTTAGAGCGTACGTTTAGAGGCCTAATCAGCTTATGCTTTGTATTTGTGTGTGTGTGGTGCTGAATGGCTTTCTAATTTGTTTGTGTGTTTGTTTGTTTGTTTGTTTGTTTGTTTGTTTGTTTGTTTACCAGGAGAAGCAGAATGAGGCTCTGTACCTGCGGGAGCACAGAGGACAGCTCGTTGAGGAACTGTCCAAAACTATTGTGCAGAAAGTAAGAAAGGAAACATATTTTGCTTCCTGAGAAATACACACTTTGCACAGTAGCAGTTTTATAGTGTATGGTGAGGTTGACTCACTTTGTTTAAAAATCCAATGTGTGATACTCAATCATCTGTTTTTCTACTCCTAACATATAAAAAACATCTTGAGAAAGAAAATCAGCTGATGTTTGATTTCTGCATTTGAACGGAGAAATCCTCAGAACTAATCATCTCCCTGTGTCTCTTAGATTATTAGTAGGAGAAACACTTTGGCTGAGATGAGGGCAGAATATGACCAGGTTTGGCCAATTGAACACAACACTGACCTTCATCATCCTCATCATCATCATCATCCTGACTGTGATCAAGCCTCCAGCTCCATTAAACACCAACCAGGCCTCTGGGTAAAAACGTCTCACTTTAGTTTGACTTGGCAATAAATGAACAGGGATGTGTTCAAAACAATTATTTTTTAAATGGTATTATAGTTATTATTAAAGATTAAACCAGTGGTTATGTACAAAAAGAAGTTTAGAAAATGAATTTTCTTTTAAATTTCTCAGAAGGTTTGATTTTAAGGTTTTATATAAGCCATTTAATATAACAGAAAACTATTTGATAAGAGAATTAAAAACCACATTAATGCACCAGTTTTCACAAACTAATAATATCACACAACTCAAAGGTTTTCTATTCTAAAACATTTCTCATTTGTGTGGTGACACCTGCTGGTTAAACTTGTTAACAGGCTCTATTAACTTCACCTTATTGCAGACTCCCAGTGTGACAATAACTTTTATTTTGATCCCTCTCCTCTCAGAGGTCACACTCTGCTTTCTCCCTGCTGGACAATAATCCTGCCGGTCGAATACAAACCACTCAATCGCTGAAGAAGGAGGGAGGCACACTGCCGACCTGGAAGAGTGTCGACCGGCTGGACAACGCTGGTGAGATCCTACTGCTCCTTAACTTTTAAAACCAACCATGCATTCTTCTTTTGATTGGTTCATTTATTTATTTAGCATAAATTACTGTCAATAATGTGTCTGTTTCTGCATGATGTGTGCGCTCACATTGGTAGCGGTGTCGTCGGTGCTGAAGAGTCCAGACGGGAACTGGATCGCCCTGCAGAGCGCCCAGCTGTCCCGCCCCGGCCTGCTGACGAAGAGGAAGAGCCCGTTCTTCAGCGCCCTGGACAGGGAAGCTGAAGTCGTGTCCGCCTACGAGGGAGTGAGCTCCTTTAACGAAACCAAAGCCGACAGCTCGTGGGGCGGCGTCCTGCAGGAGATCCACAGGAAGATGGCCGACTCTAACTTCAACCTGCAGGACGGGATCCCCTTCCAGCTGCCGGGCAGCAGAGACGACCTGCTCTCTGACTCGGAGGGCGAGAGGAAGCCCAGATCTCTGCTGGCGCTCTTTAAGAGGAAGGTGCCCGCGGAGATCAGGACACCTGCATCCTCCAGGAGGACGAGCATCATCGACGTGAACTTTAACGTGGAGGGAAATGGAGAGGAAGAGGAGAGAGAGGTGGCGGCAGAGCCAGAAGTTCTGAAAGTGAGGAGATCCCGGAAGAAAAGAAGGAGTAAAAAACAGTTGTCTTCTTCTGTGCGGGTAGGAAATATAATTTCAAGAAACTAAGAACAGATGAGATGAAATGAGATCTTGTAATAATTACAGGTAGAAAAGAGTTGAATTCAAGTAATGAAACTGATGAACATGGTTCTATTGCACATTTCCTATCAAGGTTAATGCATTTAAAGTCTTTACAACTCGCTTCATTGTAAAAAAATAACAGAGCTGTTAAAATAACCGACTCAAAATGATCAGCAACAATTAAATTATGAATCAAACATGTTGATTAATTTGATTAATTGAAAAAGGAAAAACATAATAAGATGTGAACTTTATTCCTGATAAACTAAGTTAAAAATATCCTGTGTTTCCTCACTGTTGATAATAGTGAGAGGTATTTTCACTATCTATAACTATAACTACATCTAGCTGGATCGAATGTCCCCACATGTAGAAAACTGAATATACTCAAATGCACATCTCATGACAATAACAGTAGTACTTCAATCACTACAGGAAATATACATTTATTCTGAATTCTATTATTTCTTACAGTCACAGGATGACAGCGAGGAAGACGACCATTACCAACAAACATATGAGGCTGCGACCCCGGACACTTTGACCTCTGGAGCCTCCACCCCTGAGTCTGATGACCTTGAGAGTGACATCACAGGAAGTGGAGCCAATCAGACGGAGCAAGAGCTCACGTCAAAACCGCATTTTTCTCAGTCCTCCAGCGGAGAAGAAGAGGGAGAAGAGGCTGAGGATGGAGGAGCGAGAGATGCTAGCGATGATGAACAGAGGGAGGAAGAGAGACAAGAAAGCGAGGACGGATATGAGGAAGATGAGGGTCTTTGGAGGATGGAGATCGACCCTGAGGAAGGAAGAACAGAGGAAGACGAGGAAGGGGATGATGAAGAGATGGAAAGCAGATTGTACAGACTCGTCGCACACTCCAGACGAACATACTTCTCTTCAACGGATGACGATTTAGACAAAGTTGGCCAGAGTGACGCGGAGTGTGACGAAGACAAGGACGAAGACGTGGAGGAGGAGAAGGTGGGGAGACTAAACTCAAAACTCTGTGAGCTAGAGAAAGAAGTCCGGGCCAACCAGTTCTCCTCCACAGAGGACGAGCTGGACAGAGCTGGAGTCATGGATGAAGAAGAAGAGAAGAAGGAGGTGACGGTGAAAGTGTGCAGATTAGTCAACCAAGCCAACGCGACCTTGTTCTCTTCCACAGAGGACGAGTTAGACCGAGTAGGAAGAGGCGAAGAGGCAGAGGAAGCGATGGATGAGGAGACGTTGTGGAAGATGCGGCAGGAACATCTGGACGTCCAGAACACTCGACTCAGAGACCTGGCCAGCCTGGTCAGCGCCTCTCAGTTCTCTTCCTCTGAGGACGAGCTGGAGAGAGTTGGAGAGACTGAGGAGGAAGCAAATGAAGAAGGAATACAGAGGGAAGAGGTTGTGGGAGACCTGAGAGAGTCATTTGAAGATTTAGACGTGGACATGTTTGATGTAATGGGTGAAAATGAGGAAAGAAAGACGGAGAGTAGTGATGAAGACGTTAAAGATCGAACAGAGGTAAAGGAGGGTCGCATGCAGGAGAGAGTACCAGCTGAGGATGAAAAGGTGGTCAAGGAGTACATATGTGACGAAGAAGTAGAAGTTTTGGAAGAGGAGGCGGTTCAAAAAGCACAGGGCTTAGAGAGGAGACAAGAGATGGAGGTTGAAACAGTCATACAAGCGGAGAAAACAGAGGAGGTCATCTTAAACAAGGCACAAGTCCAACCAGTGGATGAAAAAGTGGCGAAGCAACAAGACAAACAGGAAGTAGAAGACAAACAGGAAGTAGAAGACAAACAGGAAGTAGAAGAGAAACAAGAAGAGGGAAATATCAACGAAGAAAGTCAGGACGCAGAAACAGACAGCGATGTGGACGACGCAGAGTTTGAGAGGATCATCAGCAGCATGTTGACGATGACTTTGGAAGACATGCAGGTCGGGACATTAGAGGACGCATCAGAGGAGACAGGAAAGGAGTTGCAGAGTGGAGGCGACGTCAAAGGAAACGAGCAAATTGGGCGAGACGTTTCCAGGAAAAAGGAGAGTGAAGATGCTACAGGCGGGAATGAGAATGAGGGGGAAGACACAGATGTACAAGAAGGACACATAAATGCATCCATGGAAGAGACACCTGAGGTCAAACAGACATGTGAGAGAATAGAAGTGGGTGATGAGGAACAAGAGGGAAGAAGAGGAACAGTCCTGAAGGAGGGGACAACAATGGAGACACAGGGGGATCGTGAAGTTAAAGAAACAGATGAGAGACGTGAAGAAACCAAAGAAAGTGTGGAGGACATGGAGCAGAGCAGCACGTCTTCTCTCCACGGTCTACTGTCCCCTGAGGAGATTCAAAATGTAAGATCTTTATTTGTTGTCTCACTCTGCACACTGATAATGTACGCAACATCACTGTAGGTGGCGTCACTCCCTGCAAGAGGAGCACAAGTCCGATGCTGTTTCAAAACCTGCTTATTTTCTCTTTATGTTCCCCGCTAACAATATGTTGAGATTAGAACATGTAAATTGAAAGAGATAGAAACAATTCAATAGATTAATTTATAAGCATTAAAACACAAGGGTGCTCATTACAGCACGCTCAGAGCTTTTGATGCTAAAGCCTTACTTCTGCCTGGCCTATCAAAGCATTCTCTAATATACATATCAAGCTATTTCTTTATACATCTCAATACATTGTCCTTTACATTTGTCAATTAGCATCTGCTAGTTGAGTTGGGTTCTAGTGCATCATTTTCTACCACGCAACTTCTTTCACCAACAAAAACAACAACACATGAGAATGTAAAAAAAAAAACACATAACTCTCATGTTCTATCAATTTGGTTTCTAATGTGGTTTAAAGTGGACCTATCATGCTATATTTGAAACATATATTGTAGGGCCATACCTATATAAAACATGTCTGTGAAGTTTTTTTTTCAAAATACCAAACAGATCATGCATTTTAGCCATGCCTCATTTCGCTCAATTTGCTCTTTTCCAGCCCTGTTTTTGCAAGGGCTGATTCTGTGAGAAGTCTTCTTCGCTGCTTTTGTGGCAGACTACAGCGCCACTTACAGGCCTGGCATATGTACTACAGCGTCTCCAGCGCTTTCGAGCGGTCTCTCATTCCCCTGATAGGTGGAGAGTTGCCCATATAGGCGGAGCACCCCTTTTCTGACGTCAGAAAAATTCAAATAATAATCAGCTCCGTTGCAGCCCCGTTTTTAGAGATTTGGGTATGGAGGAAAAGAGAGTGTTTTCTGACACTTGGTGAGTTCCCTGACACACCGGGGACACATATTCATGTATAAAAGACGTACAAAAGTGCATTTTGCATGATAGGTCCCCTTTAAATATCTTAGCATGAGGCACATTTACAGGTTTACATTTGGAATTTAATGAGATAAAAAGAAAAGAAAACCTAATATTTCCATATCAACAGGTTCTGTTTCGGAGAGGCTGAGCATTATAAACTTTTACGTAGCTGAATTTGAGCTCATTTCTCCTTTGCTAACTAACTACTAACAACTCTGCCTGATGCTGATTTTCTTCCCCTGTCTGTCCTGTGTTTTCTTCTTCTGTGGTTCTCTGTGTGCTGTAGGGTAGCGACCTGGAGCTTTACAAAACGATTCAGTTCTTATCCACTCTGCTGGAGCAGGTGAGATCTAGCGTTGGCTTTATAAAGGCAGCCTATCGCACGTTCTTCTCTCAATGCTTTCATCTCATTTCTTTGTCTTTTTTCAATATGCTTGTCGCACTGAATGAATTATATTTTATCCATTCAAGTTATTCACTGTGGATATGATAAATCCCCCTCCCCCTTTTGTTTGTTCAAAGCAATAGTGTGAATGAGTTTTCAGCTTTATGGACACTTTTTAAAAATCTCTCATGTGATAAACAAATAACTCACAACAGCAACATCATTGCCAGCCGTCACCATTACCACATCAACCAGTATTTCCTATAGACAGCATATATTTGTATATTTGTCTATATTTGTTAGACGCTTTTATCCAAAGCGACTTGCATACATTCAGTACTGTGGACAATCCCCACAGGAGCAATTTGGGGTGAAGTGTCTTGCCCAGGGACACAACGACATGCTGACTGCAGTGGGACTCGAACTCTGATTCGAAGTCCAGCACACTCCCACTGAGCCACAGCCTCCCATATATATCATTTGCATATAATATCCATGATTAGCAAAGCAGTTAGGAAAAGAAGCATAAATTACCCACCCTGTTTCTGACTCCAGTGTAGTATTTTTTTTAATTGAAATGTTTTCCTCGGTGTCAGAGGTACTCGGCGGTGTCTCTGCACAGCATCACCACGGAGGTCCTGAAGGTTTTGAATGCCACTGAGGAGCTGCTGCTGCAGGGGGGAGGAGACGGCCCCCCACCCTGCACCCCGCTGCCCCCCCACACCGACCCCAAGAAACTGGACCAGCAGTTCTCCAGACTGGAGGAGAACGTAAGATCAGCTTTTTATATGTATTCACTGCAGATGGCTCTGTTTGAAGAGTGTGAAGCTACTGATGACACGTTTCAGTTGAAGCTGTTTTTAATGTGTTGTATGGTGTTAATGCACAAATCGGTCATTATTGAAGAAACAAACTTCATATTTGAAATCAACTGCAACAAAGTATGTTGTAAAACCTTTTTATAAATATATGTCATAAAAACTCATAGTATAGTATGTTCTTACATAATTGTTATTAAAATTGTCATAGTATAGTTTGCCACGGGCTACACAGTTGACTCTCTTAGAAAAACCCAATATATAAACGGGTTTAATTCAGATAATTGCATATGTTTCCAATTTAAAAGACCAAGTTTAGCAGTTACTGTTGTGTTTACCTGGACGTGCTGCAGGTGTACGTGGCGGCTGGAGAGGTGTTCAGTCTGGAGGCGGAGCTTGGAGACCTGGAGGAGGTCGCCCGCGGAGTCTGCAGCGACACGCCCGGCCTGGAGCTCAGCTTCCTGGAGGAGCAGGTCGCCTCGGCCGCCGCCAGGGTGCAGCAGTCTGAGCTGCAGGTGGGTCAATGTATGACTCTGTTTTTAGCTGAAAATGGTATATTAAAGGTCCCCTATTATACTGGTTTTCATCAATATATTACAGGTCTCAGATATATACAAAACATGTCTCTGAAGTGTTTGGCTCGAAATACCAAACAGATCATTGCAGCATCCCATAAACCCCTCTGTTTCAGCCCTGTTTCAAAAGTGCTGATTCTCTGTCTGTGACTTTAGATGAAAATAAGGAGCCCCTCCCCACGTCCCTCTGAGAGATATTTGGTTCAAAAGAACACAATGGTGCTCTAGGAGGAGATTCAGGTGATAAGGTGGGGGGAGGTTACCTTGGTTGGTGATTGGCTAATGGTTACACAAGCCAAGAAAAACGTTATGACATCATAAAGTGGCCAAAATCTGATCAGCTCATTTTCAGACAGGTTTTTATATAAATGGATCAGGATAAAAAGAGGGCGATTCTTTTTTCCTGAAACTTTCAGAATCTCTTTACACAGAGGGGACACATGTTTATGTATAACATAAATGTAAAAGTGGATTTTGCATAATAGGTGACCTTTAAATACTTACTGCCATGTTTGGGAGCTGTGTGAAAAGTTGATGAAACACAGATCGGCCTCATGGGGGCGCTGTAGTCAAAGGTTTCATATTGGAAAGACAACCATAACAACATCTGTGTGATCTTAATCAAACATGTTTCTGTTGTTCCTGCTTCAGATTTCTGACATATCGGCCAGAATTGCTGCTCTGAAGAGTGCGGGCCTGAATGTGGACACACAGCAGGCCCGCTTCACCAAGACCCGGACCGTTCCATTTATGGTACATCTATATTAAATTATTATCATCTCCTATTAACTACCACAACATTATGTCAAACAGCTCGGGCAAGAATTACAACTGGTGTTGTGTCTTGTGTGTTTGCAGCCGGTCACTGTGGACTCATCGAGGCAGCAGAGGAGGAGACTTCCTGCTCCACCTGTCAAAGGTAGGAGTGTGTCCTGATTATAGTAAACCTACTGTGCCTGTGTGATGCAATACATATGAATTGTCTCAGTTAATGTAGATGCTGTTAAAAAAATGACATGCATAAATGCTTTATACTAACGATCAAATATATTTAACTTGGATGGTTTAAGTGTGTTTTTAGATTAACATTTTACTACAGATTTTTTTTTGGTTTGCATACTAACTGTTGTGAATATACTTAAATGTAACGTTCGGTATGGGAAATATTTGTATGGAGTTATACTGTAGTCTCATTATTGAATCTTTGGAGACACAAAACTAATTATATGACGTACTTGTCCAAACATGCATTAATAACCAGCCGCTGCTTTTGTTTATCTCATCACCATAACATTGAAAAGAAACAAGAGATACAGATGTAGTTGAGACAAGAATGTGTTCAATATGAAGTGATGTATTTTATTAATGAGCCTTCGATGTCTTTGAAATTACATACAAATTAATACATAATTTGATTGATTTTCTGCCTTTTGTTTGATCTCTCTCTCTCAGAGGAAAAGGAGGAAAACTAAGTCTCTGAGCGAGACCTCAGCAGTGCCTTCGCCTGCTCCTGCAGGACAGCGTGCCTTCAATTATTTCATTTAGACTAACATGCCTCAAATAACACAGGATCAGCGCTGTGTGTCCCTGAAACTGTTTATCCTGTCAACTGTTCAACATGTACAGTAGATATATCTACCGTATAACAGCTTGAGTTAACCTGGTGCAGAGGAGAGGGTTAACCCTTCAGCTCTGGAGAAAATCACTAACATTTGACTTTTAAAACTCTTTTAGATTTCCACAAAGTGGGATAAACTGAAATGATTACACTAGTGTATTACAGCAGAGGACAAGAAATCTTGTTTTAATGAAAATATTCTATTTAGATTCATTTTTAACATCAGTAGTAGTCCATTTACCTTGCTGATGAAAACAGCGATACAAACATTGTATAATGACTGAAAAGACACTGAAGTCGTCTAAAACCTGCATTTACACAATTTTTACCGTTATACCATAAATATACAGATACATGGGAAATAATGTAGACAAGTATTGCTGCTAGACTGTATCATGTGTAAAATAAATATAGATATGTATGTTTGAAATGTAATGTACATCAAACCAATCAGTATATGTTGTTTTCTGCCTCTATTACTTAGTTCAGAAAATAAAGTAAACTCTAAAAAGACCCTTTGCCTTACTGTATGAATGTTTCTCTCCGAGGTAAACAGCAGTGAGACGCTGTGCTCCGATGAAGGTGGGTGTAATGGTGAGGAATGTAGCCTGTATTTTTGAGATGAGGATGTGACACCCGAACATGAGATTCCTGCTTGTGAAGAAGGTGTGGGAACGACACATAACAGACGTCTTTCAGAAAGAAATGGTCTGAAGACAAACATCCAGCGGCGTCACCTCTGACGCCGCAGTAAACACGAACGAGTGACCTGAGAAAAGTAAATACTAGTTCTTATGTATTAAATACTCTCATGGTTTATCAGATGTGAAGCAAAGTGTGAATACATTATTCTGTCGTCGCTGTTTCCTCATAGAGGTTCGGTGTTTTTCTCTTTTAATGCTCACGTGTGGAAAATAATAAGTCTCCCTCGCATAGTGATCCAGCTCTGTCCCAAAGCCTTCTGGGATACGTAGTTTTGGGTCAGGAGCTCTCTGACACTAAGAAGCGCTCCCTCTGGTCGGGAACTATGAATCCTTCTTTCTGCTCGCTCTCTCTTCGGTCCGACATCACGAACGACTGTTTGGGGTCGATGACGGCCGCGTTGTCTTTGTCCGGAGCCTCGACCTCAGCGTAGGAGGGGCGGCCGGACCCCCGTCTGAACTTCATGATGGGCCAGCGGGTGGGCCGCCGCTGAGGGGGAACAAACGACAGAGAAATTAGCAAAAACACATGGGTTTGTTCAAGGATTACTTCGATATAATATATAGAAAACCTTTGCAGACCAGAACATAGCACTATATACCTTTATGTATTTAAACGTATTGGAATGAGATGCGTTTTTCTGCACTGCGGAACGTCCCTAAAACATCTTCCACAGTATATTGCACTATTATAAATAATATAATAACTTTTTAGGCCAAGAGAGGCTTTTGAATGTTATAATAAAACTCATAAAAGGCATATTTTGTATTTAACTTACATAGAAGGGTGCAGAGGAAGTGTGTCATAGCTTCAGTTTTGTGGTTTTGGGGTCACTGACCTCCATGAAGAAGAGGCTGGCGCTGCAGGTGGGGTGGGTGTACATGTAGACGGACATGAAGACGGCAGCTCCCATAATAACTATCACCATGACGATACCCACCAGCAGCCCAGTCTGCAGCCGCTCGTCGCTCTCTGCGGGGGGGTCCTGGTGTCGGGCTGTACAGAGAGGGTTTATAGGTTATAGACAATGTGCATCTCCTCGTCAAAAGGACTCAATATAATTGGTCTTAAAGAAGCTCATGCAGATATTTCAGCGCTGGAAACATATACATAGTTCACACGTTGTGGCTTTAATTATCAGGTCAAATGCAAATATTTACATTTTGACTTAAGTTTTGCTTGAAAACTGCTGAAAATAATTACCAAAATGTCGATCAGACGCACAGCAGGGGAATGACTTACCTGCTTCATTGATGTGCAGAGAGATCTTTGTGTCATCTAGAAAAAGAAAGTCTGACATTATACACTATATTAAATCATAGCAAACACTAGGTCATTAATCATACATGTAGAAGCATCTAAGAATAAAGAATAAAAAAACTTAAAACGCAAATGTTTACTGTAATTAAGCTTTTTGAGGAGGTGTAGCAGTTTTTAATGAGACACTGCTACACTACAAACCATTGTTGTAGGTCCCCAAAAAGTGTGCGGTCATTTGCAAAGAATCACTTCATTTTTTCAAATCCAAACTCTCCTTTTTAAGTAAATCTTTACGAAACATCCAGGAAATATTCTAGTTTTTCAAAGATATTTGGGATCAACTTTGGGACTTGTTTTTTAAGAATAAAAATCAAGAGCTTTTCCATCTACCTTAAATACTTAAATCTCAGTGCTTTGGTGTGAGTGGGACGTTGCAGCCGTCCTATACTCTGCCTGCAGAGACGCACACATACATCGAGTCATCCTTCAGCAGCTGAGGACACTATGCAGTATTTAACATGGCGCTGTGACAGAGGGCTGGGAAATATCTGACCAGTTGACCCTCTGACTGTCAGCCTTTACACAATGCACTGTGTTACCATGCACAGACAACAAGGATTAACTCTAGATGGTGATGGCACCCGCCCTGATCTGAAATCTGTAACTTTAACTGTAATGACTTTTCTTACGTTTACATTACATGACTGTAAAACCCCTGATGTGCAATAACACTGCCTGTAAATATAAACCTTTGTGCAATATACATTTATGTGCAATTTACCCTCGTGCAATTCACGCTTTATTTTTTCTTTCAACTTGTTTACAATCGGCAAACGGCACCAGCTACCTCTTTAATTTGATATGGTCCCTTTTTTTAACCATGGTGGACTTATCTGCTATTTTCTTTTGTTACTGATTGTGTTTTTTATTAGTGAAAAAACGTGTGCATACTTAGTTATTATTATTTGTTTATATGTAAGTCTATTCTCTTTACTTTATCTGCACTATCTGCTGTTGTAAAAATGTACATTTCCCTATCAATATGTATATATGACCCAATATGTATATTTGTTCATTTGAATTAATTTCTTATTTTATAGTTATTTTATCATTTTGATTTGATCTTTGATTGTATTAATCTGTTTGAATCTGTGCTGTCCTGTTTTTCATCCTCACCCTGTTGCTGTTAAACCACTGAATTTCCCCACGGGGATTAATAAAGATCTTATCTTATCTTATAAAGGAAATCTGATCATAAATCGATCATGTTAAGCTATCAAAACAAGGACTATTAAAAGTAGTGGTAGGACTTTCTAAGTAACACACGTTGTTTACTAGATGGCTGAAAGCATGCTGTCAGCTGACCTTCTGCTGCTCTGCTGGTTGGAGGCTGCTCACTGGATATTATTTCTCTGCTCTTGCTGCTGCGTGTTGGCGGGCGGGTGGCGGGGGACGTCCTGTGGGGGGGGGCGGGGGTCGTGCTGGAGGTCCTCTGATGCATCGCGGTCGTCATGACAGCAGCGGTCGTATGTGGGAGTTGGCGAGACGAGGTGTTGCTGACGTCTGTGAGCCGGAGACAGCGGGGATCTCTCCTCTGGAAAACAAACTAAACTCAGACACAAGTTTCAACTGAATTTGACTTTCTGTAGTTTTATTAAAATGCTAGAATAATCCGAACCTCTTCCGGGCAGCCGAGGTCGACCCAGTTCTGCCGGTTACGATCAAAGCCACTGGAGCATCTGAGAAAGGAAGTAGATATTAATACGTACATGAGCTGTGATTTCAGGGTTAAAGTGTTTACGGGACAAATCTCAATAAAGCTTTAGCAAATGTTATGTTTCTTTACATATCTATCTCCAATTGAATAGCTCCACATGTAGTAAAGCAAGAGAGAAACAGAGCTTACATACATTGGTTCCTACCTAAAGGGTATGTCCCAGTATACCCACCTGCTCCTCGTTGAAAAGCGAGGAAGTGTACTGCTCTGTTCGTAATGGCTGCAAGGACATACTATTTTAATGTATCTGCGTTCCTCATTTTGAGAGAATTCAGCCAAGCTAAAGTGAGGCTTCTGAGTTCATCTGATTAAGTGTGTTTCTTCCTGACTTTATATATACCAAAAAGGACATCTAATGAATCCCTTAAATGGAAATCACTTTAGGAAGGGATCTTTGCTGCCAGTACAGACGAGAAGAACATGTGCAGCAGTAACTTGAATATAAGAGACGTGTGTATATATATATATATATATATATATATATATATATATATATATATATATATATATATATATAATAGTGCATTGAAATCGAGTAAACAGGAAGACACAGTGGGTGTTTCTCAATCGCGAGTACGCTTGCTTGGTAGCACATGTCTGCCGAGCATCTTGCTTCAGAAGCGAGTCAAGAATACTTCCTGACATTTGGAAAACGAAGTGTGGAACACGCTAGCAAGTGTGCAGGTATGTGTCATATGAGAGGCCCCGCTTTACATTTTCCGCCACAGATTTTGGAAATTGGTCCGTGCGCAAAGCATTGTGGGGATTTTAAGACCGCGGAGTCTACACATGTGCAGCCTCGAAATTTCTCCTAACGAAGTACGCCGGGCTCGGTAGATTTCCAAGTATGCTGGAGATTGGAACAGTACTTCGGCGGCACTCGATGACGTAGTATGCTTGAAATAGTGGCTCTGCAGCAGCTTTACTCGCGATTGAGAAACACCCAGAATGTTAATATCTTCATCACGTGACCTAAAATATCTTCTTTAGCAGTGCAATATGTTCCCTTAAAATCTATTCACCTTCTTTTCATTTCATTGGATATCTGTGACTCTGAAGCAGCACACGATGTCTTTGTTAATAAAGTGAATTTAGTGGGTCTGCGCTCTCTGAGGGATTTCCAGTTTACCTTTGGAGCCGACTGCACCAGCTGCAGTTAAATCCGATCTGAGAAGAGACACATGGACCACAGCTGGAGAACTGGAGACACGCTGAGGACAGAGACAACAGAGAAGGGCGAGGAGGAAGAGGGGGGAGGAAGGGCAAGGAGGAAGAGCGAGGAGGAAGAGCGAGGAGGAAGAGCGAGGAAAGAGCGGCTTCTGTGAGTTAAAGCCAAATGCATTCTCACCGAGCATCCTGCTGATACTGTATTGTCATCACAAGCTATTCAGTTTCTACAATTGAGCGGACACGAAGGACACGAAGGAAGACACAAATGCAAACTGTGGATAATTTAAAAGATGTACTTACTAGGGAGAGGGAGCATCTCCACCGCTGTAGAATTGGATATTTTGGACTTGAGGATGTCGACCTTGTGATACTCATAAATGGTTCTCCGACGAACGTCTGCAGCGTGTCAGAGAGGAGATGATGTCGTTAATAACTAGTGAGATTTAGAGTATTGTTTAAAGAGTTGGCTGGTAGGAAAATAAAGTTTTAAAACACCAAATGTGCCACTCACTTGGGATCTGCTCTATCTTATGAAGCACCACAAAAGCGTCCGACAGGCCCACCTTCACAGGATGATTCTCAGAGCTGATGTCGCTGATGTCTAAAGGAATCTTTGAAAATAAATCTGTATAACTAAACGAGTGTCGCATTAACAGCAGAACAGGAAGGAGAGAGGAAATGTCACCTCTTTGTATGCGAACACGATGCGTCCGTCGCTGTGCAGAGCGGCCTGGAAGGTGAACGGTCCCAGACTGATGTCGT